CTAATTGTCTCCTACAATGAAGTGTCCAAGACCAATTCAAGAACACCAAAACCTAGTGCTCTTCATCTTTCTCCCTGAGTGCTGGCCTTCAGAACTCTTAACAACTGAGCACCAAGGCAATATGGACTATTGCAGAAAAGAAGGCCAGGGGACAGGCAATATGGATTATTGCAGAAAAGAAAGCCAGGGGATAGGCAAGCTTTTAGAAAAAAAAAAAAAATCTCCAAGAGATAAAAGGGACAATCAATCAATCAATCAATCAATCAAGTCCATTCCTTTTGTGCCCTGAGATTCAGGTGAAGGCACTAATGGGACCACAAAGGACAGCAGAGGCCAGAAATACATCTGCACAAATCATATAACAGGCAAGGAACAGGTAGAGGAGGAGTTGACAGCCCTGCTCCCTTCCAACTCATTCACCCCACCACCACCAAGGGAGATGAGGTCCAAGAAGCCACACTCCTGGCCTTTGTTGATGCTGTTCCTTCTGCCTAGAATGTACTTCATCCCAGAGGTCCCAGCCCCTATGACTAGCTCAAGATCTTCTTCCTGGGACCACCCTGGAAGGCATCAATTTCCCAGTCTTCTGGGCACTGTGGCCCTGCATGTGAACCACACACTTTTGAGTCTGTGTGCCTGCTGGGCAGAGGCTCCCCCAGGGCAAGGTCTTGTTACTTTTCAACAGCATTTCTAGTGTTTGGGGCCTTGTCTAATGCAGAGTGGGCACAGAAAACACTTTCTGAATGTATCTATTTTAAAATGATAGTCTTGTCTCTTCTCCATCATGCTGCCACCTGCCACCATCATGTGTTTCTGTGATAAACAGATAGATGTCCACAGTATCATCATTCCTCTATTTTTTTAAACCAAATTTCTTTAGTCCTATTTACAAGTAACGACACTCTGGACATTTGTGACTAATTTAACCCACCTCACATATAATTGCCAGTTTCCTCAAAGACAAATAATATAAGAACATTTCAACAGAATCAAAAAGCTCTTATCACCTACTCATGTGTATAGTTAGCTAGACTACAATGGTCCACACACTATGGTTAATAGATTCAACCTATCTCTATAAAGCCACATTTCCCTAGCATGTTAAAGCATGCAAAGCCAAATCAAAGATAGGACTTTCAAATGTACTAGCTATATTAATAATATATTTTGGCAGATACAATACCCCATGTAGGGGGGATACCTAATGAAATCTATATGCATACACATATATATAAACAGAGGCAACTAGTGTGTATCATTTTTTTTTTAATCATAGGAGAAACTGCATCTCTTAGTCTGTCCTCATTTCTGTTGCATTTTAACTAGGAAAACACACAACTTCTATTTACCTCACTTATGTGTGTAGCAAGCAACCAATTCATACCCAGAACCTGCACTGTTTCAATTAAGAAAGTGTCAGTAAGGCATTTTGCTGATAATCATGATGAATTTATGCAAGAGACTTAAGAACAATGTGAGCCTAAACCTGGAGTTGCCTCATTTTAATTCACTCATCTCCACTAATATCTAGGGCAGCAAAGAACTTTTACTTCCAAATGCTCACACTCTTCCTCCTCTAATGAACACTAAACTCATGAGTATTAAACCTTTTGTATCATAAACAGTATCTCTAATTACTATTAAACTGTGGCAGCCTCCCTGGCTGGCCTTACCTGAATTTAGGAAACTACTACTTCTAGGTGTGTAGAATCTAGCACAGAATGAATGAATGAACGAATGCCAGGTCAAGGTAACAGGTTACCAATTGACTTAAGTCACTAAGATGCAAAGTGGAAATGGAGAGACACGTAAGTGCCTCAATAGTTTCTCATTTTTTTTTAAAAAAAAAAGAGGGCTGGGAAGGTGGCTCAGTGGTAGAATGCTTGCCTTGCATGCATGAGCACCACATAAGCAGAAAAAGCCGGATATGATGCTTTGGCTCAAGTGGTAGAGCGCTAGCCTTGAGCTGAAGAGCTGAGGGACAGCACCCAGGCCCAGAGTTCAGGCTCCACGACTGGGGGGGGGGGGGGGGGGAGACAGGGAGCACCAGTGGCACATGCCTGTAATCCTAACTACTCAGGAGGTTGACATCTGAAGACTGCGATTAAAAGCCAGCCCAGGCAGGAAAGTCTATGAAACTCTTATATCCAATTAACTACCCGAATACCAGAAGTGGTGCTGTGGCTCAAGAGGTAGAGCGCTCACCTTGAGCTGAAGAGTTCAAGGATAGTGCCCAGGCACAGAGTTCAAGTCCCATTACTGACAAAAAAAAAAAAAATTGGAATGTATAAAACATCCTATTTACTGACATATTATAAAAAAATAAAAAACATAGGTACCTCACTGAATTGTAAGGCACCTGAACACATATAATAAAATGCCTGAAATATGACAGTTGCTGAATAAGTAAGTATTGACTATATGGCCCAAGAATCAGTGAGCTATGCAAAGAAACTAAGTTAAGAGCAAGCTCAGAGGCATGGAACTGGGGACACATCTCAGTGGTAAACCACTTGCCTAGAATGCATCCTGCACTAGCATCCATTCCAGATAGCGTAAAAGCAGGCCAAAAGCAAGGGGGAAAAATGATACTGTTTATGATACCATGGGTTTAATGTTCATAGCAGCAACCAGTAGAGTAGTGTGAGCATTTGGAAGTAAAAATTCTCTGCTGTCTTACATATTAGTGGAGATCAAAATGAATTAAAATGAGACAACTCCCAAGTTTTGGCTCACAATGTCTTTCAATCTCTCCCTACCAACTGTTGGTGCTCCTGAAAACTACTATGAATTATGCTTCTCCTCCTAAGTCCTGAAATGAGTGGAATACAGAAAGCCATTTCTAGAAACATTCCTGGCTAAGAAAATCGTATTACCTCTCTTTAAGCTGATTAAATCTCTCCTGAAAACTACTGCTTAAACTACACAAAGCTAACTTTCGTCATCCTCACCACTGGTCACAAACTGGTCTGAGAGTTGGAAAGTCAAGTCCATAGAGGAGCCTAAGGTAATTGTCTGCAATGGAGCCGTCAATCAGCCATTTCCACACTAACAGACCTGCTGTCCAGTTCCTGTGCCCAATGTGCCACAACACTCATTGAATGGCACTTAAGGCCCTCACTCTGATGGAGCCATCATTCATTCAATCCTTCCCTTTCCAGGCCCCTGCTAGTGGTTGTGTATCTCTTGCTAAAATACCTTCCTCCTTTCTCTCTCCATATCACACCAGTCAGCTCTCTGAACCTCCACTGCAGCTTATTCTCCTAATTTAACTTTCATGTCCCATTTGCCATGTGCACTCAAATTTCATTCAAATGCATTGAATCCTTAACTAACTCCGTAAAATTGGGCAGTGTCCCACACACTTCCAAATCTCTTAAAATGTCTAGCACAGTGCTAGGCACATCACAGGTATTCCAGAAATTTGCTGCTAGAGAGCTTAGTAGGTGCTCATTAAAACCCTTCTACCATCCACCGATTACAATGAAGCCCCAAACCGAGGGAAACTACCCAATGGATTCCATCCAAGGAACATTTTTGTAGTAATTACCAAGCTACTCAAGGCAGGAATGTTTTCTGGTCTTAATTATTTGGATTATTATTTTAATTGCCACTACTCAACTACTCTAGCTTAGGCTTGCAAACCAAAATATTCTGGAAGGTTAGCCTCCAAGAGCATTTGGAGGGGCCACTGAAGGAATGTAACTCTTCAGCTTTCAAATTTTGTCTTGGGCAGCTTTCAATTTTTCTCTTCTGAAGGGCGCCAGGTACTTTAGGTTTGAATATCTGCGGTACCTATTGCAATTCTCCCCTCCTCCTCCCTTGTAAGAGATGCCCAGAGTAGTGCTTAAAAGGTTAAAATGTTTCCAAACAGCAAGATTGGTTTCTCTTTTTTGGGGGGGTTGGGGGGGAAGAGAAAATTGAGTAACAACGAAGAAAAGAAAGAAAGAAAACAAATAACAGAAGGAAAACCTGTATACCAAAAGAACGCGAAGATGTTTCCGTCTTTGGGGGAGAAAGCTACTTTGAATTTACAACTTTTTCTCAGGCAAGCTTTAAGAAACACACCAAATTTAGGAACCTGGATAAAAGCCTGGCAGAACCTCTCAGAGAGCTGCAGTGGCGCCCCTCCCACCAAACCCGCGTTCTTAAAACACATTTCTTTTTTTTTTTTTCTGGCTGCAAAATGCTGTTTTCCCCCAGAATAATTCCATTTAAAAAGCCCCCACCCGCGAAGAAACATTAATCTACTTTGCAAACATGCGTTCCAGTCTGCTTTACTGTTTTTTTTCCAACTCCTTGCCCCCCTCCCCCCCCCCCTTTTTTTTGTACCTTGAGACAAATGTTTTTTTCCCCCAGAGTTGAAAGCTGTCCAAAAACAGGACCACACACGCCGCCGCCTCCGCAGGCCCGCGCAGCGCCCGCCCGCCCCCTCCCCCGCCCTCCCCGAGCGCCGGCCGCGGCCGCCGGGGGCGCGCACACTCCCTGCAGCCAGAGGGGTGGCCTTTCCCTCCACCCCCCACTCCTTTCCCTTTGGACGCGGTGGGTGGGGGTGGAGGAGGGAAAGAAGCGGAGTTGGGGAGCCACCGCGGGAGAGGCCTTCCCCTGGCAGCGTCTCCCGGCCAGAGTGAGGCTGGCAGCAGCGGTGGCAGTTCCCGAAGCGCCCCCCGTCCCCCCCCCCCCGCGCCGGCCGTGTAGAGTGGTCTGTTCCACCGAGGGGGCCCCCGCGCCCCCGCCGGCCCGCCCTCGCCACTCTCTCCCACAACACCTAGCAAAACGCAGCGCTCCGAGTAGATTACAGCGCGGCCTTTGTCGGGCGGGCCTGGCTCCAGGCCAGGCGCCCAAACAATAAACAATTCCCCCTGGTGCGGACAGGGCTTTTGCGCTGGCCCCGGCTAGGCTCTAGGTGTATCCTGGCAAATATCTTTATCAATTGGAAGGAAGGGAAGGGAAGGGAAAGGGGAAAGGGGGGGCGCCGCCGCGGGCGCTGGGTCTCTTACCTTCCACCCACAGCTCCTCCACGTTGGTCTCGAGATTAGCTGCCTTTAATCCCACAGCGAAGGCTCCAAATATGAGGAGGCCCACAACCAAGAACTTGCCGCAGTTTTTTTGAATGTAACAACCCAGTTTAAATAAGAGTCTCTGAAACTGCGCTCTCAGCCACAGTGGCGCTTTCCGGCCAGTAGCCTTCCCCTGGGAACGAAAACAGAAGGGAGGAGTGAACACACCGGGGAGTCGCGGCCCGCGCGCCCACGCCCGCTCGCGCGCACCAGCCCGGGATCCCCGACAGGCCCGGCAACCGTGGGGGCGTGGGCGGCCGCGGCGCAGGGATGCGCCCTCGGGGCTGGAACCCAGGCGGGCCAGAGGGAGTGAGAGCGGCGTGGGGGGGCTTGGTCATAAATCAAAGTCAGGCGGCACCTCGGGGAACACAGAGGCGCCCCCACGAGCGTCTGCAGGGCATCCTGGAGTCAGGCATGGGGGCGCTTGGGGAGAAGAGCTGCCACACAGAGGGGGTAGCAAAAGCCGAGAGGAGTCACTGGACCCAAGATCTGCACCCCCCAGACGTAGAAAAGGAGGGGCAGCGTAATCCCACAAACGGAGTTCAACATTTAAGAACACATTCCCTTTTTCCCGTAATCGAGCTCCTTCTAACAACCACAGTTTCTCAGGAGACGCCGGGGAGGACCGGGTGTTGGGGGGGGGGGGGGACGGAGGGAGCGCGTAAACACTTTGGGAACAACCTACTACCTTCCGTTCAGCCCCTCCCCCCGCCCCGAGTGGCAGTAAGTGGGGATCCACGTGGTGAACGCGGAGGTCAGGGCTCACTCCCCACGCCGTTCCAAAGCGCGGGGAGAGCCGTGAAGAGCAGCCATCTGCAACTTACGACAGTATTTGTGCTCGGAAGAGGGCAACCACATGGATTTCCCCCTCTTCTCCCTTCCCCTTCTGGTTAAAGCTAGAACACAGCCAGCCAAGTGCCCGGGGAGAGGGCCCAGACTGGAGCAGGCGGGGGTCCCGGCTGGGCGCAGGCTGCTGCCGGCGGCCGTGTGGCCCCGGTGCCCGCCGCTGCCCGGGCGGGCCCCCGTCTGGGTGCTCGCCTTCCGCGGATTCCACACATTTCAGCAAGCCTCGTAAACAATGAACCCGGCCGCTTCGCACACCCCTACTACAGATTTAAGGTGGCGATTTGTTTACAACGTTCCCTCTCCCCGTCAGGCTCGGAGAAGAGGCGGCTCAAACCCTGGAAAAGGAGAGAGGCGGGGGGTCTCTCTTCCGAGGAGAATTTTTAAGGGAGCAGAGATTTCGTGCTCAACAAAAGCAAAACTGGCTGCCAAAAAAGGAAACCACCTTTATTTTGGCTCCCCCTCCTTCCTCTCCCCGCCTCTCTCCACTCCGCCTCCCCCCAACCCCCCCCAAGATGTTAAGAAAAGTGGATGTTTCACGGAGGATTTTTAGGCGGAAAATAAAGGGCTGGGGCGAAGGAGATGAGCGCTCGGGGCCGGGGGCACTGCGGCCGCCCTCGAGGTGGTCCGCTGTGGACTGCTTTCCAAAGCTCCGGAAAAGGCACGCCAAGGGAGGACGTGTGTGTGCGCGCGCGCGCGGACACACACACACACACACACACACACACACACACACACAGGCACACACACCTCCACCCCCTGCGGACCGCAGACAGCCCTTTCCTCCGAGGAGCAGAGGGAGGGTTTGAATTTTTCAATCCTCACTTGTCTACTGCTTTTCCTGGAGGCGTGTGTGTGTGTGTGTGTGTGTGTGTGTGTGTGTCGGGGCGATCCCCCCCCAAAGAGGAAGAGGAGGGAAGAGAAAGTGGGAGGGGAAGACAGGAGTCTGAAATGCACCTTGGAAATCTGCTCCAGAGCGAAGGCGGCGTCGCAGTAGCTGGGCCGGTGCAGATAGTCCCGATCCAGTGCGGCACGGCGCAGTCCTCCGGTCCGTCTGCGCCTCCCGCCACCGGCCGGCCGGCCCAGGGCCCCGCTGCAGCCGCCGCCGCCGCCGCCGCCGCGGTCCTGGGGCTCGGCGGCGTTACCAGCCGAGGCCATGTTGCCGCCGCCGCCGCCGCGGGGACCGAGGCTTCCCGGGCGGCCCGGCGCGCTGCCGCCGCCTCTGCGAACTCCCGGAGCGACTGGGCTCTCGGCTCGCGAGGACGCTGCTGGCCACCGGCTGCTCGAGCTCGGGCTCCGGTTGACAGATTTGCTGCTGCTGCTGCTGCCGCTGCTCCGGCTCACACGGCGGACGCTGCTGCCGCTGCGGCCGCGGGCGCTGCCGGGGACTCAGACCCTGCGTCTTCCATTGCCACATTGCGCGGGGGTCCCGAGGTCTCTGCGGCCGCCGCTGCCCACATCCAGTTCGCGAGAGGGCGAGAGCCGGCGCGCGGTAACCTAGCCTGTCCTTCCGGCGCTTCCACGGCACTCTTCGCGGTCCCCGACTCCCCCTACCCGCCCCCCGCCCCGTGCCGCGCCGCGACCCCTTCACTGCAGAAAGCGCCAGCAAATCTCGGCTGCTCCCGCCGGCTGCGCTGGCTTCCTCGGCGCCTCCGGAGTCGCCCGAGCGGTCGCGGAGGGCGAGCGCAGAGCCGGCGTCGCCGCAGGGTCCGAGGGTGTCTGGCGGGTCTCAGCGCTGCCGGGCCGAAGCAACCGCCGCTGCCGCTGCTCCCGCGGTCGTTGCTGCTGGCGGTGGCGGCTCCTGTAGCGGCTGCTCTCGCTCGGGCTGCTGGGTTCGCAGTGGCTGCTCGGTCCCGGACTCTGCTTTCTTGGGCTCCTCACCGACCCGCTGGACCATTCTGCCCCCGCGCAGCGCGCTTCTCTTGCTCCCGGGACCTGGGGACTCCGCTCTGTGTGTGTGCAGCGGGCAGCGGCCGCAGCAGCTCCTTGATTCAATAGATGAGATGGAAGAAGAAAAAAAAGAACTCTCTCCATTTGGAGAAAGAGGAGGAGGAGGGGAGGGGGTAGAGGGGGAGAGCGAGCGAAAGAGAAAAAGGCTGGAGCTCCCGCCCCCGGGGCTGTCAGATGGCTTGGGTTTCTGCAACGCGATTGGCTCGCGGAGGGCAGAAATTACTCAGCAAACATGACTATTATTAGCTGCTTAGCAACAGCTCACCAAAGTAGAGAGACCACCCAGGTAGGCAACCCCAGTGTGTGCATCCCGGGCTTCGGGGGGAGCCTCCGAGAGCGCCAACCTTCTCGCATGCAATACTTCCATTAAGGAATGCTCCCCCCTCCTTTCTTTCTTATTCCTTTTTTCAACAGTGTCTTCTTTTTTTTTTTTTGTGAGACGCCTTTTGCGCGCACACATGCACGCGCGCTCTCACACACGAGCATTTGCTTCACCACAGACACAGGGAGATATAATTTTTTTAAGCGCTTAAACAATTTTTTTTTTGAGATTCCTCAAAGAAAACCCTTTCAAGAGGCACCTTGGCCTCAAGCAGCAGCAAATACTGGGAGGTCCGGCTTGAATTCCCAGGCCTGCACCAATAATGACAGGGTGGTGGATAGTGCGCCAGTGTGTGCCAGATTTTTTTCCCCCTGCTCTCTTTTCTTTTATAGCTAAAAGGCAAAAGACTTAGGCTCGCGCAGGGAACAACGCCTCGCATTAAGATAAACAAAATGGAAAGTTAAAGAGGAAAGCAAGGCCGTTGAGGAAAGCCACCCTTAAAATCCTTCTTCCCCCTTTTCGGCTCCCTCTCGGCCCCCCCCCCCCCCCCATCGACAGCACAGTCCTGGTTTGAAGGAGTCTGTGTTCTATAAATGTGGAATCCAGACACCAAAGCAGTCTTGTGGAGGCAGAGACTTTTTTTTTTATTTGAGTCTTTAATGCGACAATAAATAAAACAACAGAATCCTTTTAACAACCCAGAGAAATAGAATTGTTTCCTTGTGAAGTTTGCGTGATTGTTTGGGTTCATTTTGGAACTCTCTTTTTTAAAAAAAATATTTACTGTACCCTAAAAAGTCAGTTTTAAACACTTCTTACAAAAAATCGATATGCATATATATATTTAATAACAGCGTGAGGTAGGGAAAATAAAGGCTTTGATGTTGGATTCATTTGAAATAAACTGTGCGCAGTATATATGTCCCAACATATAGAATTAAAAAAAGAAAAAACCAGTCGCTGGTGGCTCATGCCTGTAATCCTAATTAATCAGTAGACTGAAGACTCGTTTTCCTTTGAGGAAGAGAAAACGTGACTTTTGAGAGTACATCCTAGGGCAGAGACAAACTGTCTACACAACTACTCTTTTTAAGAAAAAAAATCGCGACTTTTTAGAGTAGAATGCCTTTTCGCTTCCTTACATTTTCGAAGTAAATTCCTCCCGGCAGTAGACACCAGACCCAGAAACCCTAGATTGTTTCATATTTTTTCATACATACATACATATATATTTTGTATTTAGAGTTGAATTGCAGAGGGACATGCAGTAAGGAGAAGCCGACTGAAGTCGTGAAATGGGGCAGTGTGGCTTTAAGATGCACACCGTGTGTGTTCATTGAAAAAAAAAAAAAGAAGAAAGGAAAGAAAGAAACCCAGATGGAGAGACTGGGGGGAGGAGCGGGGGAAGAAGGCGGAGCCCAGGCTGCCACGTGACCCCGGGCTCGGAGGCCCCTGCGCGCGCCGCTGCTTGGTGCGTCCGCGTGCTCGTGCGCAGGGCTCCGCGACCCTGGAGTTGCAGGTAGGAAAAAATTCTGTGCCCAAGGTGACAACCGGACGAGCTCCCGGCCTTCAGCACGGTCTCCCCAGAGCCCAAGCCAAGCGTGCGCCCCGCCGGTACGGACGGACGTGCCGGACGCGCCGTAGTACATTCCTGAAGGCGGACCGGCCCCCTTACGTTACCCAATGTCCGCGCAGCCTCCCCGCTGCCAGCCAATGGCTGCGCGCACGGGGCCCTTCCCATTCAGCAGCCCCGCGCCGGCGGCTCCGGCCCGCCAGGGGCTGCGGCGGGGCGCGCGGGCCACCGGGGCAGTGCACGCGGCTCCTGCAGGGGGCCGGTCTGCCAGCCCTCCCCGCCCCCTTCCTGCCTCTACGGCATTTTCCCAGTCCCAGCTTCTTTCCCTGCTCCTGGCTTCATCCTCTTTCACTACGTTTTCTATCTCAGTCTCTTCCCTCCTCTCCTAGCCTCGCCACCTTCCCTCTAGCTTTTTTTTTCCTCCTGATTTCATTGAGAGGCCTTGCTCCCCAAATCCTGAACCCGCAAAACTCTGCAGTTCCTGGAGGGGGTGGGGAGGCATGGAGAATAAACAGGACACAAAGGGGTCAAAAGAATTTAGGGGGTGATCAGGAGTGATCCGGAGGAGGACTTGAGTACCTGGCCAGCGCGGAAATTCAAAACTCCTAAGGCCTAAGAAGCACGTGATTTTTGATCCACCGTGGAAAAAAGGCCGCTAAAATCCCTCAGGGCCGGGAACTCGGTGCAGTGAAAGCGACACTACGTTAATACGAGCACGGGAAGGCCAGCTCCACGCATGGGCAGGCTAATGGGGGAGTCAAGTCCCAGTTTTTGTTATATTTGATAAACAGCTTAAAGCAGAAAAAATGATGTACTAGGTTAGCTGTAACTGAGCAGTTCGATGATATTCTAAGTCAGATCATTTCGTGCATGCTACTGGAGATTGTTTTTAAAGACTTGGTTTAATTAATGAGCCTGTTTTTACAGTTGAGGTTTGCTGTATGTCACGGTAACTGGAGCCATAGACAAATTGCTATCTTTGTGTATTAAAAAAAAAAAAAAAGACTACATTTTAGGCCAGAATATTAGGGTGTTTTGTGTTTGTTTGTTTTTTGTCCCACTCTTCAGAGTAGTTTCAATACGGATTGTTGGGTTCTAGGATGAAATTACAGTTCACAAACCACGTAATGGCTCAGTATTTCTCTTCCTAAGAAGCT